TAACCATAGCATGAGGTGGCAACCTCGAGTAAGTCGTTCTCGAAGAAATTCGGTTTCCACATCAGCGATCATTATTAGGATTTGTTGAAATCGTGGTGCGATGTTTGCAAGTTTTGTCCTCATATCCGCAGAGAGTAATGTTTCCCATTTGATTTTCTGGTTTTTCTGTCGTGTACCAAGGCCTTCGCATGGTACCCTCTTCATTTAGTGGAAGGTGCTAACAAAGGGGTAACGACTGATCGAAATATCATTTGAGGCGAACATCCATTGCATTACACCGTAAATGAGACGATACGATTATCAACTCGATCATCGACTTTTGTACACTAGCTTTCTCATACCGGTATGCTGATGCACGCTTCGATGCTCGATGAAGACGTTCATAACTGACAGCCCAATGTTTGCCCAAAATCGCGACCAATTCATGTCACTATCGTCGAGTTCGCTATGGCCGTTCTTTCCAGTCGCACCTTTGCCCCTTCCCAGTGTATGCTTTGACACGCACATTGAAATCGCTCACCAGAGTGATGGATTGCGTAGTCGGCACTTCCTACTGAGAACTTTATACTTGCTCGAGGAAGAACTGAGGTCAAATGTGGTTTCTAATTTGAAATGGCCGAAGGAACAAACAAAGCAAAACGTACCATTGCAAGTTTTAAATATTCAAAGATATGGTAGAATTCTCGCTCGTGTTTTTCACTTTTCGCTCATTTTGTCTTTAAGTTAAATTCTTTCTGTTGTAGACCATATTTGTTCGGTTGGCTATTCAGACCTGTAAGCGCTTCCTTTTGTCGATACATTATTCTTACCTGCTTACGGGGATGTTTCTTTTTGTCGTTGCGTAGCTATTACTAAGTATCAAAGAGTTCTCCCATAACATTAGCTTCCCAGTGCTCTGTTGTGTAGTACCTGCGTCGTTATTCAAACGGATGCATTCTTCTTGCTACGGTTTCTGTTAGCTTTCATTTCTTCTTATTTGTCCTCTCTCGCTAATAACTGATTCCGTTTAGAAAACTGTCGCCGCCTACTTTACTCTGACTACAGGTTTCGTGAAATGCTTTCACTGCTCTATTAGAAATTGTCTTCATCAGTCTGTTTCATTGTGCCGAATGAAAATAATTCCGCCATTGGCCTTGATCCAGTCGATTCAGTAATTTAGTTTTGTCGTCAAACATTCGGTTTCTAGGCCTTCTTGCTTCTTATTAAATTTTTCCCTACTACTGTGTAATCTAGCTCACTGTCGTTTTACTTATGTGTTTGTTAATGAGCATTCAGTAGAAAACTGCGTTTACCGTGTTGCTTATTCGTTCTGGTTAAAACGCTGTCTTGTGATCCTTAACATGCCATGCATATCGTTTCAATTTCCGATATCGGTTTTATTCGGCGTAAGCCCATAGCTCTGGATCTTCTCATCGCTTACGGAGACTAGTGAAGCAAACAACGGCTCTTCTTGGTACCTGAGTACCTGTAGTGCTCGGATGCAGGACAGCATCGCTGAGTTTAACCAAACAAAGGCGCGTTCGAACATCAGTTAACTTTGCTGACTTCCGTAGGGAAAACTATGCATTAAAATAACCGTAACCTTCCGGGGTAGATAAAACGTAGCCCTCCAGTTCCGCCAGTGGCATAGCATTTCAATTCCATATACCGGATATACTTGGCGTAAGCGTAAGCACCATCCCCGAATTTCTAGTCGTCTAGAAGTCCGAGCTGTGCTTCTTCCAATGCACTGCAGATTTTAAGGGTATCATGGAGCTGTGGCTTGCTTAAATGTTCGCATTGGGCGAAGCATGGGCGGTCCATTTATCACAGTAAGTAATTTACCAGAGTATCATAATAAGTAATTTACCACACCAAGTAAATCCGGATATGAAATGTTATTTTGTCCGGCGGAATTTGAAAGCTACAGGGTGGTGACTATCCCAGAACAGTTGGGTTATATTTTCTGTCGATGCGTACCTGATCATGCATTTTGTCTTGGCATGTGACTTTTCGGTTCTGGTGTATTCCTGCGCTAAATTTTGCATCCGTAGTTGATTATGGGTTTTTACGCCCATTGGTTGAAAATATTTCTGTCGGTGCGTACTGACGATTTTCCCTCTAAGCACGTTCGTTTTCCTGATTATCTCGCTCATCTGGTTTTCACGCTGCTGCGATAGTTATCGTAACCCCCTCCCCATGAATGTCAGTCTCGACTTCGTCGCGTCGTTTTATTTACTTTGCCATTCTTGCAACACACGAAGGGTATCGCTGCTGTTGATTGAACA